CGATTTTTCGGATTCACAATGAAGCCCATCCGGGCCATTGCAACCTGCCATTGCAGTGCCAGGCTGGGGCAGGGCCGGCCAGCAGCCCTGACTTTGGGGGGACTTTTGGATTGAGGATTGAATCCGAAAAATCGCTCCGAGAAACTGCTCAGAGACTTTTTCTCTTTAAGCAGCAAAGGTATTTATTAGCAGCGCTGGGAGCGAGCCAGCTATTGCTGGAAAAACTTGCTCGAAGGCCTCACACAAAATCAGCAGTTTTATACAATTTTTCAGGGGTGATTAAATGCATATTCAAGTGATTGCAGCATCTATTCATACATATTGATAACAGGCAGAGTATGGGTGGAGCTCAGGTGGAGCTTGGGGCGGCGCTTCTCTCTATCCCCAATTTTAGGGGGAGATCCCATCTTCATCCCATGGGCAGGGGGCGTATTCTCATCTTCCTCAGTCCGACCTTTCTTCCTTCCCATTGTTCTTGACTCGCTCGCTCAAGCTTGGAGAAAGCCCTGGCTCCCGGCCTATTTCTCCTATTCCAATGTCTACTTTAGCTTCCTGAATCCTAATTTATTGCCTCTAGGCCCATTCCATGTACCTTTAGCACTCTGTTAAGCTTTGGTCCAGTTAGCAGAACAGAACGTTTTGGATGTAAGGAACTTGTTAGCAGGCCCAAGTTTCTTAGTTCACTCTTTTGGGCTTCCCCTCCTGTTTCACTGGCAGAAGCCGGGAGCCAAAGCAGATCCTGCCTGGCCAGGCTGGGGGGCAGCAGTTGGATCCACTCTGGGGAAAACCCCTGGGCCTGCCAGGAGCTCTGACTCTGTTTGTCCTGCCAGTTCCTGACCAGTGGCAGGGCCACTGGGAGGGATTCAGAATCCAAAGAAGCCCCAAATCCTACCGAGGGACTCAATCAAAGGAAGAAAGCGATTATTGTCATAAAAGGCTTAAAAACCTGTTAAAAATTCTAGGACAACAATACTGGGATTCCCAGGAAACTTATTAGTGCTCTTGGGTCCATTTTAATGGATCTTTAGTCCCTCAAGGAGCAGCTTGGAGAACTTCCCCTGGGATTTGGAGGCTGAGCAGGGTTTGCTTTGGATTGCCTTGCATCTCTGGCCCCAGCTGGTGCCAACACAACTTGGGCCAATGTGGTTAAACACACTTTCCTACATAAACAGTTGCTATATCCCCTAGAAATTACCCCAAGTTTGCAGATAAAACCCTCATCTTTGTCCCTCTTAAGTTATCCCAGGTTTCCCCAGCTGGGAGCTGCAAGGAGGCTGCACATTCAAAGGCTGAAAGAGAAGATCTGTCAGCAAAAGGCACAAAGAAGGGGACAGGCTTCAGAAAACATTTCTGCAATCCAATTAATGACTCTTTCCAGTTTCCCAGGGAGAAGAACAGGAACTCACAGCCACCAAGGCCTGACAGTCCCCTGCAGCCAGAACTCAGCACACACCCAGAGAGGCAATTCCAGCATCTAAAAGAAAAAAAAAAAAGAAGAAAAAAGTGATTTATTTTGTTTTAAAGTTCCTTTAAGTTGTTCAAAGCACATCAAGCCTTGCTTTGGTTTCAGCTGGGTGAACAGTCAGCGCTGGGCACAGGGCACGTCATTAATGCCCATGGGGATGGTGCTGTGTGGGGGAAGAGCAGCTGATGGAGTTCCCCAGTCCGATTGCTGCCCCAGGACTGACTGGCACAGGACAAACCCTCTGGCAGGCAGTGGTTTTGTTCCCTCTAATGGTCTGTGCCCGGTGTGTCCCTGTGGCCAGTGCCAGGCTGGGGACGGGCACACGGAGCTGGCAGCACTCTCTGCTCCAAAGACACTTCTGGCCTCCTTGGCAAACCGCCTCTGACACTTGGTTTTCTCCAGGAGAAATGAAGGAATTGCTCCTGGCAGTTTGGAGATGAAGTTATCCCAAAGGGAAGGAAAGAACAAATATTCCTATCAGAGCCCTTGAGATCTGCTGGGCTGAACTGGGAAGGGCCCATTATCTGCAGAGCAAATCCAGGACAACCTCAAACACAAAGCCCAGACTGTCAAGTGGGGCGTGAAAGCACCACTGGGACAAACCTCCACTCTCCTGATTCTTTCCAGGGACTGCTCCAATCCAGCTCTGAAGCTGCCGAGCCCAAACTGTCCCCAGCGCTCTGGAGCAACAGGATCTTCCCAGGGATGATGCATTGGAAACAAAGCCCTCATTCTCAGCTTCCACACGCTCCCAGGCTCACCCCAAATTCAGGACAAGGTGCCAAAGGCCACTCGGGCCAGGGCTCTCTCTGTCTCTGCGGGCTCAGGGACTGCAGCCACCAGGGCGCTCCAGCACGGACAGCCTGGAGCCGGAGCAGATCCCTCGGGATTAGCAGCGTCCTGGGGATACCTGGAGACACAAACCATCAGCCTCTGGGGATACCACTTCATCTCCATCACACAGCCTGCCAAATTTAGGGGGGCAGCTCTCGGACCACAAAACCCAGTCTGACCCAGTTCTCCTGGGCACCAACACGGACTCCACAAACCCACAAGAATGAGAATGTTCTGCTGCTTTGACAAACTTCAGCTCAGCTTTGCAAACATCAGTCCCTGCAGCTCCCTGCTCTCCAGAGCCCCGTCCAGGGCTGGCTCCAGTTCCCTGGAGAACCTGCCCCAGCCCCACTCTGGGCCAGGCTGAGCAGAAGCTACTGGGCTGGACAAGGAAGAACCCTCCCCTGGCTGCTGCAGCTGGAGGGAGATCCAGCTACCAATGGAATGCTTGGAACAGCCTCCCAGATGGTCTCTACCCACCCCTTGGCAATGGCTCAGAATGGCAGCAGCTCCAGTGCCAGCTCAGTCCCTGCACAAGTCCTTGTCCCAGCCCTGCCACACGGACACACACGGGAGACAGCCACGGGCACACAGGCCTTGCTTGCACAATTCCTCACCCAGAGCTGAGGGAAAGCCACGCAAAATTAAGAAATAACCCGTGCTGAGAGCACTCATCGCTCCAGTCCATCAGCAGCTGGAGGCAGTTTGGTAGGGAACACACTCAAATTCTAACCCTACCTCTAAATTTCTAACAGGTTCTCTCAGAAAGATCCTGGACAGGAAATCAGACGACAGAACCCAAAGACTGCACAAGCAAGAACAGAAGGTTTGCCATGAAGAACAGGAGTTCCTTGTTTTCCTTAACACCCTGGGACTGGAGGACCCAATCTTTGCGACCAAGTGACACCAGAGATGTTATTAATACTTAAACCTCTCCCCCATGGTTCTGTCTCAGAGAACTGGGCCAGCCCTGAGCTACTCCCATGCGCCTGCAGTGCTTTGGGGCGGGGCAGGACTACGCCCCACTTCTGCTTGGAAACATTCAAATGAGGAAAAGCCACTTCCCTTCTCTGTCTCTGACCCAGAACCAAAGCAGTTCTGTAGGACAACACGGACTATGCACGGAAGGCCCGAGTCAGTGTGGGAAAAAACACCCTAAACAAACCAAACCACCCCAAATTTCAAGATAAAAACACACTGCTTCCTTAACAGGAGCACACTAAACTCATTGAAGCCAGAGAGGAAATTACAAACAAACAAAAAGATCCAAAAAGATGCTTTGCAGTGATACGTTCCCTGGTTGATCATTCCAAAGGAAATTCTCCACAGATCAGAAGCAAATACCAAGACTTTGTCCTCTGTTGAAAATTAACAACTTGAGGGGCTGGACATGTCCAGTGAGGGTTCAGGGTCTGGTGGGTTGTTTATGGCTGATCCTGAGCGGCCCAAGCCAAACCCAACCACCCCCATCGCTGCTCCATCCCACATCCAGGGGGAATAGTGATATCCTAGAGAAATACTCCCCTGCCCTGCTACTCCATCCTTCCTTACACATCCAGTGCCCAGGGAGCAAATGCCAACAGGCAGGAGGAGAGAAATGTGTCCCTCTGACTTCCCCCACCCCACAGGCAGCACCAGGAGCCCCCATGGCTGTGGGGCTGCAG